TTTCCAGAAACGCCTGTCACCGAAGCCTAGGCCTTTCATCTCACATGAAACTAGCGCAATCGTATGTCTTCAAGACAGGAATGTCGAGTGTGGGCTGATGGCTACTTTTTCCCAGGACACACGCTCTACTATTGCTCTCGTTATCGCAGGTCAGCTCTTTCTTCCCAATTATCCGTTCCCGTCTTACTGAATCCATACGGTATGCAGTTCACGACGGAATAATCCGTAATAATCTGCAACGAAGCGACATGATTTAGAATCATCCTATCTGTTCATCTTGATTCTTTAGATGTTTAAATCATCATCTACTTATTCATCTCATTCCAGCTACATCTTTGCATTCTTATGTTGCATGTAGCTCACCAGAGTATCTTTGTATGTTGCTCCTATAGGAGCAGGCAGTTTCGGAGTTGGAAAAGACAGATGTAGCCGTCACTTTTACGACAAGTGGCAGACACCTATTGATACAACAGTTACTACACGCTGTAAATTAGAATATTTATCTGTCATTTACATACTTTCCATCATTCTGCTTGTTTATTTGGATCTACACCTCTAGTATTTACCCTGCCACTATCATAATACCCGAAAGCACAGACTTGCGCAGTGATTATAATTTGTTGAGATAGCAGCGTAGTACTCGTCTAGACACAGACTCCAAGATCGAACTTGGCAAAAATCATGACGGCACTGTCATCGCCAGTGTTCGTTGTCAAGTCTCGTACCGATCTTCATCTTCCAAGGTCCTGACGTTAGGTGATACCTGTGGGCAGGTCACTTCTTTCATTACTAACGGTACCACTTGTACTAAAAGGTCCTTCTCCGCAAATCATGGACTTTGCTGTTGTTTACAAGTATGTATCATAATCTATCATAATTATTGCTTAAAAAATTCTCAAACACCCGCTTTTTCATGCATATCAGTATCAGGGTACCCCTACAACGAGGCGACGGTCCTAGATTTAATTTTGAAAGGAACAGATCGGCTAAATATCCGGAGTCCGGCTGATAAGCAGGCGCGTCACGGCAGGTCGCCATAATCAACTGTATCGTGCCGTAAGATCGGGTACTTCGGCGAATGATTGGTCAAGATAGTTCGGAATCTCAAAAGAGAGCTAAGGCATCAACGCAAGAACTTGAAGAAGTTGATTGAGAAATTATCCATCCATAAATACTTGACATACTTGACAACTTGGCCTTGAAGTTACATCATCGGTATACAAAGATAACAACAACCTTCACATTTTTACAATCTTTTTTCATCATAGGCTTCCCGTTTCACTTTGATCCACTCTTTTTCCATCACCATCACTATCATACACGCCTTGCTACCTAGCACCTCCTTCTCCCGTCACCGTTCCGTTCTGTGATAGTCTGACACATCTCCCATTATCTTCGGTATTCGCCCACCTTTCACCACCAACATATCAGATTTAGCATAGTTAACATAGCATAGCTCTGGCGTGCCGCCCTTCCCTTCCGCCCTTCCCACTCCCATTCTGTTGGCCTAGATGTAAATGGGCAGAGTAGGGTTAAGACCCTTCCACTCAGGGCCAGTCACAAAGTCTTTCTCATCAATCAAAAAGTCCTGCAAACGCACAATATTGGTTACGAAAACCGAGTAGGGAGCAAAAAAGAAAAACGTACAATAGGACACTCGACCAACGCTCCCTTGACCTCTGCGAGCCTAGACTTGACACGCTCCAATGGAATACCAGGGATAACGTGGCCTGTTTTGACTTTCGGGACGTAGTTCTATAAAGTCGTTAGCGTTAGTTAGTTGGCATGGTAAAACAAAAGGCCCGGGCTAAATACGGCACGGTGTAGAAATTGAAAAGTAGAGTAAAACATACCTCATAAGCCTTCCAGTCCCTAACCAAATTCGTCGGCACAGGTCTGAATATCTCTGTGAAAACCTCCCTATTCTTCCTCGCTGTGTCCTTCCACAAGTTTAGCGTCTCGTCGGCCAACGGATCAGCGACGAGTTGGTCTTCAGGAGTCTCGGTTTCGTCCTCGTTGGGCGTGGGCGCAGGATGCATGAACGAAGTGGGGTGCTTTGAGGAGTGGAAGGCGTCTTGTGGGGGGATGAGGCCAAGGTGCTCTGTTTAAACATGTAGAGTTAGACATACCATGCTATACGAGTTTAAGGAATAAGGAGACGCACCTTTATACAACTTTCGCCTCAAGGTTGCAGCAAACTTGGCAGCCATATAATCTTCGCCGTTCATCTTTGACCTGATCATGTCTGTATCTTCGACGACGAGAGCGATTTCAGAGTCACCGTCGCCTTTTTGAGAGCGGTCGTTGATGTTTGCAGAGCCCATCTGTCAAGCATAGGGTTAGCGAGGTGCTCATCACGAGAAGAAGACCAATATGTACAATGACCCTTCTATCATCGACGATCATAAGCTTGGAGTGAATGTACAACAACTCGGAGACGTATCTGCGCGCGGTGATTGTCAGCAACCGTCCGACATGGGGTAAACCGAGAGAAAGCACTCACGAATTCAACTCCTCCTCCTCACTCCCATCCCACTGTTCTTCCTTCAACTCGGTCGTATCCTGCAACATATGCTGGACCACATTATCCGAGACCCTTCCCTCCCTCCCATCTCCGTCCAGGTCCAAACCCCTAACCTCCCTAGCAGCTCTCTCAAACTTCTTAATAATCTCCTTGGCCTCTTCTTCAGAATGAGGCACCTGCACAGGCTGAGGCTCCTTCTTTTCCTTGTCCTTGTCACTATCTTTATTATCCCTAGTACGTTCAGTCTGTCCCAATCCCTCAGTCGTCTCAACGTTCGTGTTGATCTTGACTTCTTTAATCTCGACTTTTCCTCCTTCTTTAGTATCGGTTTTGAAAGCTTCATCACCGAGCCAGAGACGCGCTAGGGCAACTTGGGCAGCGTGGAACGAGACTCCGGAGCGTTGTTCGACTTGTTGGATGAAGGAGGATGGGGCGTTGATACGGTCGTAGGCGCGGAGGTGGTAGAAACGGATGTAATCCATTCTGTGTTTGTATGTCGTTGGAGGAAGGGAGAGAAGTTGGCGTCGTGCAATGGAAGGAGAAGAAAAGGCGAAGTACTCACGGCTCGATACCCTCCTTCCGGATTAACTCATAGATACTATTTCCACCTCGGTTCATGGTTCTGTACTGAGCAGCCATGATAATCTTGAGCGAGGTCTCATCTTTGATGTTGCCTGAAAAACCGGGGACTTCGGGGATGGCGATGACAACCTGCGTTAGAGTAAAGTAAAGTCAGCTACGAACGAGAATGACAAGACAGGGAAGGATAGACAGACCTGGAACTTTCTCCCTTCCTTGGCAGCTTGAATGATTCTCCCAACCAACGCTTGAGCGATCCTGTTGGTGACTTGATCGCCGTCGACGGTTGCAGAGATGAAGAATTGGTTTTCGATGTAGATGTAGTGGTTTGCTTCGTTGATGAGTTGGATGTCTAAATACGAAAAAGGGTTAGTGTCAGGGTGATAGGCGAAGGTAAGGAAACTAACAGGCGTTTTGAATACTGTGTTCGGTGAGAACACCGTGACTCCAGTCAGATACGCTGCGGACGACTTGGACACGGCAAGTTGCAGGGTCAGGGTGAGAGTAGTGGCCTTCATGGTCTTCATAGTCGTCGCCATCGTTGTTGCCGCCTAAGGGCAGTGTTAGAACACGGAAACATCAGACAAAGATAGACTTACTATCACCATATCCAGCAAACCTATGCCATCTCTGTCTGTACCTCCTGCCCATTCCATGCCATGTCTCACGTTGAGGATGCCTCACGACAGATTCGTTCGGGCTAAAGTCGACATTGTGCGGAAGAGCCAACCAATCAACGTTGGTCTTTTCTCTGTACTTTCTCTTCTTAATCTCATTCCACCTTTCTACGAAATGCTGGACAATGTCAAGTACACAAGGACCCGTAAGCGTCATGTGTACGTCGTGCCAAGGCATCCTCGCACTTTCCAAAAGAGAAAGCTGGTTCGAGGCATAGTCGCCGACGTTTTGGAAATCCATAACCCTAGCATTGTTGAAGTCCTGTCCGGGAAGAGGGTGTGCGCGAAAGAGGTAGGATGAACATCAGCAAGGGGATGGTTGTGCGTGTCCCATCGGCCAAAGCAGAGATCCAGACCGCCGATACAGGCAAAGTGGTTGTCAACGACGACGACCTTTTCATGGTGAGACCAGAATTCGACAGAGTCCTTGGAACCAATGTGGTCTGGGTGACGGACACATTGGACGTTGGGGTGCAAATCGGTGAGAGCCCACTAGAAGAATGTGAATACGAGTGAATGCGGAGAAAAAGTGTAGCTAACTTTGGTGTGCCTCGAGCTCATCGTCATCGTCTGTGTGACCTCCTTATATACAACAACATAGATCTTGACACCCTGTTCAGCCTTTCTCTTCAACACCCTATCTAATCTCCACTGTTCCTGCAACGCAGGCGGCCTGCGCAAGTACAGTTCCGGAGTCAACCACCAATCCAAGATGAAGATACACTCTTTAGCATTCTCCAGCATCTCGGAAAGGGCCCACATATAGTCATGTCCGTCAATGTGCCATTTGACAGCATTATTGGTACGTTCTTCGGCGAACGAGTTGAATCGGTGCGAAGCGTTGATTTCTGCGCGAATGGCGTCGGCTTTCTTTTCTTCAGGGTCGTCATGACGCCGGTTGGGGTTGAGCCGGCCAATGACTTCGTCCCTGGCGTGTTCCAGTCCCTCTGGGATTCTGTGAATGAGGTTGCTGATGAAGCTCATGATGTTTGTTGTTCGTTCTTAGTGGAAGAGAAAGTAGATAAGGAGTTTGCTAGGCGGTGCGGCAGTGCTCGTCACTGGCAACGGTATCAATCTAGGCTCCAACGTCATCATTATCCTAGGATCCTAGGAACCATTCGGCCTAGAAATGGCCGTATCACTCTGACATTGTACTTGACAGTGAGCGCTGTACGACTGAACTGGGCGTCATGATGGCTTGGAAGATCATCTCACAGTATGGCTATCTGGCGCAATGGTAGCGCGTTTGGCTTCGATTGCTGAATTCGCACCAAAAGGTTGCAGGTTCGAGTCCTGCGGTCATCACGTGATGTAGTGTTCAGCCTCCCCCTTTTCTTGTGAAGAGCTACGCAAGACGAACTGTTTACCAATGTGAGTAGCTTATGAAACTTACCAGGGAAACTGCAGATTATTCCCGCGCGCCATACTCTTTGATGTTGAACGTTGAGCGCTGAGCTTTTATTTATGGATTATTCTTGTAATATAGCTAGATCTAATTGTCCTCGCGCGCAGCAAGATTCAATAAACACAAGACAAAACTTGGATAAAACTACTAAATAGTCTATGCATATACGTTCTAAATAAACTATGCTTTGAAACGAGCAAATATTGAGATTACACCCATCATCAGTATTCTATATCTACTGTATGTTGATAACTGTGGCAGAATCCGTAGTCTCCAGGTCTTGCAACTGAGTACTATCTGAACTGTTTGACTCAAGGTCATGTTCTGTGTATCCAATAACTGGAGCGATCACCGAAGAAACGTGAAAAGATGTTTTTGCAGCATCGGAGTTTTCAATGGTAACACCTAGTCCTGCTCGGACTATGATCACCGTCGGAACAGCAGCCTGGATTATATCAATTTGAATATATAGAAAACTTTAAAATCAGAGTCACAAACCACTATTGGGACACAAACGGGAATAATCTGGATTGAAATGGCGTCGACTGTCAAAGTAAGAGTAATAACTATGATGTGTACAAATGCATAAATAACTCCTGATTCTAATCTGAATAATTGTTGAAATTAGTAAACATATTTGGAGCAGATAAAAACACACATGATGACCACCACGTTACTGTATGATTGCTGGACAGAAGACTTTGTGAATGTCTTCACTTCTTGTGTGATTTTCCAGATTTTTCCAGCTATTTATTGTAAGTATCATATCAGTGTGTGCGCCTAAATTAGTTAAACATTTACCAATGCAGGATGTGAGCAATATATTTATGATCAGATTTGCTCCAAAAAAGATTGTTTCTTCAACAGCTGCAGCATTGGTAGTACCATAGAAAAAGAATGCCACAACAGCACAAATCCCAAATACTTGATCAGTATTAGCATTTATCAACATAGGGTTGCATCAGCATTAAGCTCACTGTGATTTATGCAGGACACAACCAGGAATGGAAATGCAATCCTTTTTTGATATGCCCAAATGATGAATAAACGGTAAATCTAAAGGGTGGACTTGAAGTGCATATTCCAAAAAGTTAGAAATGCTTACAAGTATAAGGTCTGTTATAAAACTAGAAAGAAGTATACTCAATCCTAGGCTAATGTTATTTTCGTCAATTCAACACTCACTTCGCCAATAAAGGAAGCAAACCAAGTGACACGCTGTCAGATCGTTTAAATATGAGATTTACAAGTTGTGGTTTCACAGAAAGTCTTGAACCTACCCGAGATTAATCACAACCTTATCATGAATATCCTGCAATGGGATATCCAAAAAATTTAAAACGATAATTCGCATACTTTGTGCCGAGTGCAATAAAACCACTAATGTTGTCAGAAGAAACAAAACAATCAGTGAGATGAGATGAAGTCTATTGCTAGCTTGCTTTCTTGCTTTGCGACGGTGCAGTACGGCAATGGCAATAGCAAAAAGTAGAGTATAGCCTCCTGTAGTCGCTAATCATCACCTAGAAAGATAATGAATGATGAACACTTACCATACAAAAGATATTCAATCTATCTTTTTTTTAATTACAGAACAACTTGAGCTGGTAATATGAAGACTTACAGACATCATCGAGACCATGAGAATGATGCCTCTGGTATAATTGGATGTCATGATGGTTGATATATCAATGGTTCCACAGAAATTTCAAATTGGTGCTTGGTTCAGTTCAGGAACTTTAAGGTGACAAGATAAAAGAGGTTTCATCTTTACGCGATTATATACAATTCCATCACGGCACCATGGCTGTGAGGAGGTTCATGGGTACCGATTTACATTATAAATGACATCCATCAATGGATTATTATGACTGTCTTCAAAAGAAACAGCTAACTTGATCTCGATATAAAAGGACATAGGTATTGAGATTGACATTTTTGCAAGAATGCCTTCGAACTCACCGGTCGATTGAACCTCTAACTCCGGCTGATAGTAAAGGTGATAGTCGTCCTGGAGTCAGCACAAAATATGTATCATGGCATTCTATTTTTACCATACCATTGATTCTATGTAAACAATGGGCTTTAGTGGAAATGAACCCGAGGACCTAGCGAGATGTGGCCTTTCCTCCCCGAGTCTGAAAAATTCAGGCGAGGATGGAAGAAATCATGATCCCCAATGTAACAACTTTGTACAGAGCCAGACACAACACCAAAAAAATGCATTGACAAGTGTCACCCAAAATGCACATTTGACATCGATAAGTACAGAAGCTTCCACTTTTGTATTATCTTTGCCAAAGTGAATTTCTCAATCCATATGATATACTGTTTTATATTTTAAACCGTATATGGTCAAATTGAAGGCAGTACTAGGCAAGATAAATTGAGAAAATGACCCGGCGATTGGCAAGTCTATGGTATTTGTTGAGTATCTATGATTCTAGAAGAACCGCCGGTACTCGAGTTTTATCAATGTCGCAATGAGTCGACACTAGTTTACTTGTCGAGGAGTAGAAAATACAGAGATCTAGTCCAAAGTTGACAAGTTAGATTAGAAACAGAGAGACGACTACAGTTACTTGCCTAGTCCAAAGTTGACAAGAGATCAAGCTGAGGACTAGGGGTTTACAGGGGAGCCTTAAGTACTACGAGGTCTACTGTCTAATGACATACATCAGACTAAGGAGCAGTGAGTTCATACATGACGATAGGACGAGGTGAACGGAGTATGCTACTAAGACACAAGGTGATTAGTGGAAGTAAAGGGGGCACGAGTTTGAGGAAAGGTTATGGCAAGGTAAAAGACCAAGCGATCGGTAAGCTACAGTGAGGTGATATAAGTGAGTATGTGAAGTGAATAGCGGAAAATAGGTAGTTCGTGACATTACCCCCCTCCTAATATTCATCGTCCGCGATGATTAAGGTTGGGAGGGTGCATCCGGGTGAGTTTTGTGGAATTTGGTGATTAGTCTTTTGCAGTGAGTTAGGTTCGTGAAGGGTTCCCAGGAATTATTAGCGTCTCCTTCTCCTTTCCATTTGACCAAATATTCTAGTCTCCTCCATCGGACCCGGCTATCCAGTATCGATTCTACTTCAAATTCTGGTTCGTCTTCTCCTTCGAGTTCGATGGGCACGGGTTCTTTCGGTAGTTCGCCGTTGACTTCGTTTCCTCTCCAAGGGTAAAGCTTGCTGGCGTGGAACACCGGGTGGATTCAGGAGAGGGAAAGGGGAAGGTCTAAGCGGTAGTTGACTCGGCCGATTTTCTGCACTATTTCGAACGGGCCTAGTTGTCGGTCTCCTAATTTTTCACTTGACAGCTTCAAATCTATGTCTTCCCTGCTCAGCCATACCCAATCACCGATTCCATATTTCGGTAACTTCCCTTCTGACCTTTCCGCCATTTCTCTTTTGGCTAGATGAAGCGCCGCTCCAGCATCTTTTCGTACTTCTCTCAGTATTGCCAGCCGATCTTCGACGCTTTGGTTATGGGTCCTTCTTCCTATGGGTATGTTGAAATGTGGCAAATATCCATATTCTACTTCGAAGGGTGAAAGTCCGAGAGCCGAGTGGGTACGCGAATTGAGGACGAATTCCGCCATGGGTAAGTGTTCTGCCCAGTCATCTTGTCTCCTTCCCACAAAGATGCGAAGGTACTTTTCCACCTCTTGGTTTGCCCTCTCTGTTTGTCCGTTTGCTTGGGGATGGTATCCCGACGTTAGGGAGGATTGGATGCCTAGGCGTTTAAGCAGTAGCCTCATGAGTTCAGCTGCGAACTGGGGACCTCTGTCCGATACGAATTCTAGGGGGAGTCCGTGCAATCGGAAGATATCTCTGTAGTACAGATCCGCCGTTTCTTCGGCCGTAATGTTCGTGGTGCATGGTATGGCATGTATTTGTTTGCCGTAGTGATCTACACACACAAGGATGGCGTCGAATCCGTTGGAATCTGGAAGTTGTGTGATAAAGTCTACTCCCACTTTTTCCCAAGGGCCTTTGGGCACTTCCAGGGGTTGGAGTGCCGTTCGGGGGTGTCGGAGAAGTCTTTTTCGGGCGCAAACTTCACATCCCGATACGTATTTTTCGACAAAGGATCTCATAGTGGGCCACCAATAATGGGAACTCACCAGGTCATAGGTGGCGTGTACCCCTCCGTGTCCAGCTCCTCTGTCGTTGTGGCACTGCTTCAACACTTCTTTTCGTAACTCCTTTCGGGGTGGAACGTACACCTTCCCTCTTCGGTAGATGAGTCCGTCGTCTTCTTCCCATTCGGCCACTCCGTCTGCTAATCTCTTTAGCCCTCCGCTTCTCAGCCGCTGTATTCCTTCGACTACTTCCACATCTCTCGTAGTTTCCACTCTGATTCGCTCTTCTAGAGGGTTCTCTAGACCGATCGCGGCTATCTGGGCAAAGTGTTCGGGAGATAGCACCGTTTGTTTCAGGTTGTCATCTTGGTCGGTGGTTTGATGATGAGGCATTCGGGATAGGAGATCTGCAATCAGGTGCTTCTTCCCTGGCCGGTGGACTAATTGGAAATGGAAATTGGATAGTCGTAAAGCCCATCGGGCTTGTCTTCTGCTCAAATCTTGGGCCGTCCTCCAGTACTTCAGGTTGTCGTGGTCTGTGATTATCAGAAAGGGTTCGGGTAGTCCTTCGAGATAGTGCCTCCATTCCTTCAGCGCTTCAATGATGGCTAGCATTTCTCGGTCGTGAATCTCGTAGTTGCGTTGAGTTTCATCCATAGAAGAAGACCGGTAAGCAATCGGGTGCCATTCATCGTCTTCTAGCTTCTGTGACAGGACTCCGCCCGTGGCATATCCAGAGGCATCGACTTCTACTCGGGTTGGTCGGTTCGGTTTCCACAGGGCTAAAACGGGTTCTTCCACAAAGCGTCGTTTGA